GAGTCACAAATAATCTTATCCCTCGTGTCTTTGGATGTGCTGTCTCAATTCACATATTTCTCAAAGAGAAAAACTTGACCCTAAACCATCAATTGTGTCTTTGTGGAATATCTACCAACACAGCAGGGACACAAATGTTATCATCCATCTATCTAAAAGTTTTATATGTCTGTTGATGTTAGTTTTGTTGAGACTTGATCCTTCTTTGATCAACCTTATTGTTAGGGAAGATTATACTAGAAAATAAGGAGAACTCGTTTTTGACATTCATCCCTTATACTTAAACACAGTACCATCTAAAACAACCATTCCACCAGAAAATTAGAGCCACAAAATGTCAAGCCCCACTAAAGGAGCCAAAACCTCAAGCCATATAAGACCCATGCTTTCCCAGGTGTACTCAAGAAGAAAAAACTTGGATACATATTCAAAGTAAGTTCATGAATCTAACTTGGGTACTGAAAATGAGGTAAAAGGTAAGAAATTTTTACCCTCTAATATAAATATACCTATAGCACCCAAAAAAGGGATGAAAGAATGCACTAAGTATCCGCTTTATCTGATCTCAAATTTTATATTATTAGAAAAATATTTTCTATCTAATAAAAGCTTTCTAATAAATCTAAAAACAATATTCATTCATAATATATTATCTGAGACTTTAATCAGTGAAGAACGAAAAAATACTATAAAAGTTAAAATGCAAACTCTAAAGAAGAATTAAACATAAGAAGTGATGGACCAACCAAAGGAAAAAAAACCATTATGATGCAAATGGGTAATTTATTATAAAGTATAAACTTGATGGGACCATAAAGAGATATAAGGCAAGATTGATGGCCAAAAAATATTCAAACATATGGGATTGATTACCAAAAGACTTTCGCACTAGTGGCAAAAATGAATATAGTACATGCTCTATTATCTTTGTCTACAATTTTTAATTACCAATTGCAGCAATTCAATAGAAAGAATGTTTTCCTACATTGGAAACTAATGAAAGCAAATCAATTATAGAAGCTAACAAAAGCACTCATGGACTCAAACAATTTCCTACAGCATTGTTTAAAAGATTTGCAAGGATCATACTAGCTATGAGGTACAAACAGAGTCAAGAAAATCATACCTTATTTATTAAGCATTCCAATTCAAGGAGAGTTGACCCTTCTAATATATGTGGATTACATAATTGTGACAAGTAATAACGAAAGATAGAAAATAGTGCTCAAGCAATGTATGGTAAGAGAATTTGAAATAAAAGAATTCAAGTTGTTAAATACTTCCTCGCGATATAAATGACTTGCCTAAATTAGAAGTATTTATCTTACAATAGAAGTATGTCATTGACCTCTTAAAGGAGACCGAGAAGCTAGCATGTAAATCTATTGGTATCCCAACTGATCCTAATCACAAACTGGGACTGGCAGAAGAAGACCCGAATGTTAACAAAAAAATTTACCAAAACTGGTTTGAAAACTGATATAATGTCACACACTGGACCAGATATTGCCTGCACAGTAAGCATGATAAGCCAATTAACAGACAAGCCCTAGGAGGTACACTTGCAAGCTACATACCTAATACTCTATTATTTGAAGGGTACACCGGGGAAAGATATTATGTTTAAAAAAAACAACTGGTTGATCATTGAAGCTAAACTAATGTAGATTGTGTAGGATTATTAGTTGATAGAAGACTCACCACTGGTTACTGTATTTTCCTTAAAAGAAATTTGGTCACATAGAGAAGAAAGAAATAGAATATGATAATCCGATCTAGTGCAGAGTCGGAATTTCTGGCAATGACCCAAAGGATAAATAAACTTTTATGACTGAATATGTCTTGGAAGACTTGAAAATTAAACAGGAACAGCCGATGAGACTCTAGTGCAATAAAAATCCAACAATTAGTATAACACACAATCCAATAAAATATGATAGAACCAAACATATTAAAGTTGACAAGCACTTTATCAATGAAAAATTGGGTAGTGATGTGATTTGTATGATATATATGCTCATCACCTCACAATTTGTTAATGTGCTGACTAAAGGATTGAGTAATCCTGAATTTTAGATGATAATTTCCAAACTGAGAATGAACAATATCTATTCACCAGCTTGGAGGAGAATGCTGGAAAATATTTATTCAATAAAAAGTGTATCTTCATATAATCAGGATGAAGGGTACTAGTAAACTACCCATATACAAAATTAATTATATGTTTCTTTCTATTACCCTAAGAATTTAATATATAGGGTCTTCCAATTCAATAGTAAACATAACATTCTATTCTTCCACAAAGACAATTGAGAAATGAATGGAACTAGTAATCTAATTCCAAGACAATTCCATCCAATTTAAATTAGGCATTTTAATGGTTCTTTTATCGAGAGGGAAAAATATAAAATTCATGGTTATGAAATTGAAAATATGAGAGAAGTTAAATCAAATATGTAAATTATGATTATTTTCTATAGGAATTAAATGAGAATAGGAATAGTTTGAAACAAATATAATGTTAATACACTTACATTTCTTTTGTCGTATAAATAGAAGAAAAATTGGTACGGGGATGAGTACTCCTCGGATTCTACATTATGTGCCATAGCAACAGCTCCATAAACAGATAGTGGAAGAACTGGCAGCTCCCCATCCTTCCATGTAAAAATTAGAGAATAATTAACAGAGACATACTTGTCTTTCATGTGGTTGGTTGACATGCACTCAAGAGATACCTGAACACTTAATGTTGTCTTGTACAAAGGTTCAAATTGCCCCGACAGCATTATCTCTAAGGGAACACTATAACCGCCCTTGTCAAGCCCATTGTCTGTGAGAATGGCTTGATCGGTACAGCTGAGCTTGGCTCCATCATATGCACCATCAATTACCTGAAAATTCTAGAATTGCTTCGGGGTTTTCTTTCAGAATAATAAGTATTAAGAAATAACTCTCAAGCGTTCTTCTTCCATAGGAATCCACCAAGTTTACCAAGAGACCAAAAAAGAGCTGGCAGGATTCCAATCTGAAAATTCAAGATACAGGAATAGAAGATAAAAAATGGTTTTGAACACTAGAAATTCACTGACTGCTGTTATTTTTCTTGCTAAGTAGTACCATGCAAGTCCAGAAAACTTGTCTCCCACTATATTTGATCTGGTTAAATATGTTATCTCAGTTATCACATGCAAGATCTTCTCTAAACTGCTGGTATTTTCTCAGAATGTATTGGTCTATCTTCTGCTTCTTGCTTTTATAAGTAAAAAACATTTATCTTGATGAAACACCTACGCTTGTTGAAGAGAGAAACTTCCACAGATTCTTCCATCCTTCATGTTGTTGATGCTACCTATAACTTCATATGCAACTGTACTAAACTGCAATATTAACTTTCTTGCCAGTTACCAAACAGAATGCCTTATCTGTTGTGTCATTGTGCTCATGCATGGAGAAACCTCCATTATTTTGTTGGTTGCTAGTAGAATAAGGAGTTGCATTTGAATGTAAATCCAGAATACATTTGTTTCTTTAGATTTTCTTTTTTCTCACAACTTCAACATGACAAGCTTGTCCACATTCAAATCATGTCAAAGTATAATATTCTACTCAACCACACAAGCAAAATCTACAGGCAGCTCAACCAAGATAAAAGTTTAGAACATGACATAGGATTGTAATAAATTTTAAAGGATAAAGCACAAAGTATCAACCATGTACAACCCAAGTAAATTTACCAGATTTGGGTGAGATTCAACTACCTTACCAGTTTTGCAAAATTTCCTGTTGTTAATGGTGCCGAATATCCATCTAAAACAACCTGAAACCATAAGATGGTGATCAATTGCATTAACGTTTGCAAACATAGTTCGACATGTAGACTTTATAATTGCAGTATTAGCAATGATATTAAAATCCAATGCATAACATTTCAAAATATGATATTTATGTCATGCGAAGATGCCATGGAATAATAATCTTAACAGTAGAAAAGTCTTTAAGTGCTAAAAGAAGAAAAGGAGAAAATGAAGAAAATAAACTGCAAAGTGCCCTGTCACCAGAAAATGTAATTGGTAAAAACAAAGGAAAAGAAAAAAGTTGCCTCAACTACCAAACAATACAGATTTGGCGTGGATAAAGTATGCATGATTTGGCAGAGAGATTCACCCTTAAACATGATGTTTGCAAGTTCCCTGCTTGTTGGTTACCATATATCAGAGAGAACCAGTCAAACTATACAATAAGCTTAATAATTGTCCACAAACTATTATATTCTAGGAAGCAGAGAAGCTCAGTTGCTACTGTTTTATCCATGACAATATCTATTGTGATGCTAAATTTCTCTAACTGATTCTTAACAAGTTGTTACTTCATTTATCCAAAAAAAAAGTTGCCACTTCATATTTCTAAAAATGATAGGATATTACCTGAATTGTGGCTGTCTTTCTTGGTTCACCTCCTGCTTCTGGAGAAAATGCTGAACCATCTCCTTTCTCGACAGTAAATTCGACAATTCCTCTCCCTGTTAGTCTACAAGATCATAAGAGAACACCAATTCTACTTCATGCATAAGTAATGCTGAATCAAAAACCACAAATAACTCAAGACAGACATCAAGTGAAAATAAACGATTTTATAAAATACAGCAGCCTAACAGAGTAATTAGTATAGTAACATGGAAATATCGCAGTATTTGCCACACAAGATGGTCATAATCAAATATAACAACTATATTTCCCACATGATAGAGTGGTAAAATGTGAAGGTCATAATAACCCAGTAGACTTCTTTTAATATCCCATGTGAAGCAACAAACCAATGCAATACTTTTGATGTGTATTCTCTACTTTAAATTCCAATGATCTCCTACATCTCAGACAACTTGGGGCAAGGAACTACTTATTTATCATGAAATAACCAGATGAAAGAAGTCAATTAAAAGAAAAAGTAAAAGGAGAAAAGAATACCTTTTTCAAACACTAAAACTAGTTTATTCTTTTGATTAGTTAAATATTTCTCAAAATCTGACTAAATTCCATGAAAGGTCAGCTCTGATGTGAAACAAAGAATAGATTTTAAAAAATATCTTTGTTATTTTATCTGAATGTAACTTTCCTCGCTGAAATAGCAAGGGTCAAAACAACTTCAATTCTTGCAGAAAACTGACCTTGGATATGTCAAGTATTGCTCAGGTAACAAAAATGACAATCCTGGAGCCTGTTGCAAACAATAATGAGTTTGAGACTTATGACATGCTTGTTTTATGTTAGCAGCACAAATATCTATTTGAGATAACTGATTTCATTGTCAAAAAACATTTGCAGGTTTCCCGTAACATGGCTGTGGAAAGATTGTTTATATGCTTTTTTTTGTTAACTCCACATTGCCTTTTATACATTAACCTCATATTTATGAATTAGACAACTCATTAATATTATGGAGAATTGAAAATACCTGTAACAACTCCAGTTCTGCAACAGTATCTAATGAAGAAGCAAGGCCAACGGATACTTTATCAGGGTCCTGATCCTTAATACATTTTAGAAGTCCTTGCAGTCCACCCTAGTTAGTAAAGGGATATTGTCATTCAAGTATGCAAATTAAGCAACAAAAGCTTATCTTTTTTGTCAGCAATCAACAACTGCATGTGTGCATGCATGTATTTGATGTAATATAAAACACGAATGTAGACCTCTAATGAGGAATTGCAAGTCGAATATGGTAGACAAGTTAGGAGGGAGCCGGCTGAGCTTTTAGGATTAGGTAGGTAGTTATGTGGAAATATATAAAGCAGATACCTACTGTAATTTGGTAAGAAATGGATGACAGAACTCCTGAATTTCTCCCTTTGTAATCTCTCTCTTCCCTCTATCATTCTCATCTTGAATTCTCTCTGCTTCCCTCTTTAATTCTTTTCCTTCTCTTTTAACTACTCCAACATTCTATCTTGCTAATATGCACACATCAATATGTACCTATGGAACTTGGACAAAAATTTTTTAGTGAGACACAAGATTAATATGCATTGACACATGAGAGTGATGCAAAACAGGAAGCTTCTAAAGTGTTGTCAAAAGCCTTACTCATGCCTCTGATCTGAGAGAAAATAGAGAGAAAGAAGGGGAAGATTCAGCTGACAGAGAGATAAGATTCACTAAGGTAAACTGATTTTTGATGCCTTATTCACAGAAACCATGCCTATTTATAGGCTACAATGGTGGGAAAGAGAGCATATAACCTCCAGGCATGCCTAGAGGTTGCAACGGCTTGAACGGCCGGCAGGTAAGAGTATTGATCATCACCTCTTTCCTGTTTTTATTGTTCACTGAACCCAAACCTTAGTTGCATGCTGTTACAATAGAAAAAAACTCTTCTATGCTTATAAAATTTGTCTCTTTTTCCCTTGTAAATCTTTTTACGCTTTCTTCTACAGTAAACCCTAAATCGTTTGTTTACAATACCTTCTCTTTGAGCATCAACCTTATTCTCGAGGTTGAGATGTGAAAATTGTTCTTGTATATATTTATAATCCTCCCAAGCACATTCTTCTAGTGGAGTATCTTCCCACTGCATGAGAACTTGTTTTACAAGCAAGGTTCCTCGTAGGATCACCTGATGTTGTAGTATGTGTTGGGGTTGAATACTTAGTACGTCTTCTCCTGCATTGCCTGGTAAGTCTTTTATCAGATATCTCCTCCTTTAATGTACCTCGAGCTGTGACACATGGAACACCGGGTGGATTTGGGATAAGGGGGAAGCTGAAGCTTGTAAGCCACTGCACCAATCTTTTGTATTATCTAGAAGGGACCATAGAATCAGGGTGATAGTTTGGATCTTCCAGCTTGTCTATTGACCCTTGCTTGAATGGCTGAAATTTGAGAAGTACTCAATCTTGTGTCTTAAAACTTCATTCAATTTGACGTCTGTTTGTATATTGCTTGATTCTGGATTGAATCTTTAGGAGTCATTATTTGATCATTTGGTTAGCATCTTCTTGTTCAACTAGTAGTTCTTCAACAGATAGTGAAGCTAGTAAAGAGTCAAAAGTATCCAAGAAATGTGAAGGTACATGCCCGTAGAATGCTTGAAAGGAAGTCATAATGAGACTTGTATAGTAGGTCATATTATACCATCACTCAATTGTGGATAGTCATTTTGCCCATGTCTCAGGTTGATTAAAGGACATGCACCAAAGGTACATTTCCAAATATTGATTGAGTCACTCCGTCAGACCATCTGTTTGAGGATGATAGTAATGCTGAAATGATGACTGGTTCCAACTGCTCATATCAGTTCCTTCCAGAAAAGACTGGTGAATAAAGTGTTCTTGTCTGATATTATGACTTGCGGTACTCTATGTAATGTGTGAATAGTCTCTATGTAAAGATGAACTTCTCTCTGAGTTGTAAAGGGATGGCACAAAGGAATAAAATGGCCGTACTTGGTGAACCAGTCTACTACCACCAGAATAGTTTCTTTATTCCCGGATTTGTCCAGTTGTTTGATGAAATCCATTGATATATGAATCCATACTTGTGATGGTATGAATGATGGTTGTAAGAGTCTCAAGATGGGAACTTTTTCAACATTGTGATGTTGGCAAGTGTCCCACTGTTGGACCCCACTGAATAATATGTTTTTTCATGTTGGGCCAGTAGCAATGCTGTTTGACTCATTCATAAGTGGCCCTAACACCCGAATGACCTCCTATGCCAGAGTTATGGCATTGATAAAGGAGTTCATGTCGTAGCCCTTCATTGTTGCATATGACCAGCCTCCATTTGTATCGTAGAATTCAATTAGAGAGATGAAAATTTGGCTTGTTTTGCAGGGATACAATAACTTCTATGATTAGTTGTTGCATAAAAGAGTCATCAGAATAGCTTTTGGACACCTCACACCCAAGCAGGGGTAGTAGTAGTGACCGCGTAAAGAATCTCGATTGTCGAATCGTCATAGTCTCTTCTAAATAAGGCATCTGTGATTATATTGGCAACTCCTTACCTATATTGGATGACATAATCAGCCCTAATAGTTTTATAATGCGCTTTTGTTGGACCATAAAAGACACTCATTGATGGTATTTGAGACTGTGTTGATCTGTCCGAACGATAAATGGAACTCCTTCTAATTAGGGGTGCCCCTGAACAACCGCATATAATACAGTCATGAGTTCTTTCGCATATACGGACTTTCTTTTCTGGGACACAAAGCCTTACATATAAAAGCTATCAGTTGACCTTCGTGCATCAAAACAGCTCCAATTCCCTTGTCATTAGCATTTGTTTCAATGGTAAATAGGTCCCCAAATTTTGGGACTCTCAATATAGGGTTAAAAGACATTACTCTTTTTATCTATTGGAATGCAGGTTCGACTCCGGAGTTCTATTGAAATGTGTCTTTGTTTAATAGGTTCATGAGAGGTTTCACAATGACCGTGTATTACTTAATGAATTTCCATAATAGCCAGTTAAGCCTAGAAATCCCCTGAGGGCTTTGAGAGTTTATACTTTCTCACTACAATTTCAGATTCTGCAAGTTTCAATTGTTAGGAACACAAGTTCCAACTTTGATATTTTTTCTACTTCAACATTTCAAAACTCAAGATCAAATTTGCATAAAGTGTGAGAGAATGATGCAGAATAAAAAGCTTCTAAAGTTTGCATATTTTAATAATAAAAGATATGAGACAGAACCAATGAAGAAATATAAACATTTTGAGAAGTTTACTAAAAATAATAGAAAGATTTAATATCTTTTCCTAAGTTTTAGAAAGTTTTACAATAAAGGAAAAAAGAAAGATTTAGTTTCTTTTCTAACTTTTGAAAAATTTTACAACGAAGGAAAATAAGAAGAATTATTTAACTATTTCCTACGTTTCCTATTTCCCTAGTCCTTTTTATTTTACCTATTTTCCTATTTGCTTGGTTTTTAAGATTTCTTATTTTTGATATATTTGGTGCCTATAAATAAGATACTTAACTTAGTTATTAAGTAGATTATTCATAATAATTAATCAAATATTGAGATATTGTTTTGATTATTAAGATCCGAGATTTTTAAATTTTTGTTCTTAATAAAATTTTTCTAAATTCTATCTTTTAGTCCTTTTAGTCCTATATTAAAGAACATTATTTTTTCCAGTGAACCATGATGAAGCCATAAGAATTGAAATAAATTATACACTTCACAAGAAACTTGCCCCTCATTTGAACTAAGATACGCTTTTCAGAGTACCTTCCCGTCAATAAGAGATCCATATAGTGTGGTGCCCTTATCCCTCAAAGCTGCTGGTATACTTGACAAGATGGAATTCTTTTCATCTGTTGCGATCTGAAAATAGAAAAATAAAACAATTAGATGAAAAAAATTGATAATGTTAAAGCAATACATTCCACTTTTCCATGAGGTATGAACAAGGAAAACCAAAAGAAAAGTCAAATATAAGAGAGAACACCAAATACAGAGAAACTAAATAGCTCAATCTGGTGAAAAATAAAATATAGTTAGCAAAAGAAATGTTTTTAAAAAGGAAACTTCAACAGAAACAAGGCTTGTGAACTCATTCAAGCAAAACCGCAAGCTCTACCAAGAGAAAACCACACAGCTCATGTCCATAAAGTTCCAAAAAAAAATCTACAAAATTGAATTTCAAGAGCACCTAAAATTTTGGGAGTGACTTTCTCCTCCTAATGTTAAACAACACATATACTATGCTGAAAGCTCCAAGGATTCGTGACCCTTGTGCCACAAGTCTATTGTCTCCTTTAGCATGTCATATGGAAGAAGAAAAAGAAAGTAAACAGATACCTTTAGAGCTTTCTTTACATTACTCTCCATGGTACCGTAAGGCTTTCTCTGCGGAATCCTCAACAGGTATGAGATATCTTCCAAGGAAGCCTGAAAGAAAGAGTAAAATTGTGAGGAAACCAAGTAATAAAGATGCAATATAATCAAATTCAATCATTAACTATAACCTGTATAGCCTTCATGTTTGTATTAGCCGGGATAGCCCGCCTTAAAGCAAGTTCCCCAGTTCTTGGGACCTTAGTGTCAGGAGAGTAAAGCACAGCCTTGGCAGGAGAAATAGGCAAAAAGTTCCAACCAACAAATGTTAGGGGAGATGAAATTTGAACCAAAACAAGGATAATAGCAATAAACCTTTCTACTTCCTTTCTTTTTTCTCCAAATTTTGGCAACGAGAGTTTAGCAGAAAAATCATGGGGTTGATCCAGATCCTGCATTGCTGAAGACCCATCTTAGAAAACAGAAAGAACTTGAAGAAGATCACGGATTTTATAACTGCATAAATAAGAATTAGAGTCTTTCCCACCAGCTTAAACTTTTGAAGTAGTTGGTCAGAAATGGAATATTTTACA